TCGCCCCATTGTTGGATTTTTATTATTATTTATTAAGTTATTGTTAATATAAGTATCTCCTGCATCCTGAACAAGTATCTTAACTAGTTACAAATTACGAAAATTTTTCAAAAATTTAACAAGTCGCAATGCCTGGTTCTTCGTTCGCGTGGACTTTTTGAGTCTTCTCAGATTTTTTTACAGTGAAAATGTTTCATATATTTGCCTATCTTTCATTTATAACAAAAACGATACAAACCATAAATATAGTCAACCAAAGTTTTAGCGAACCTGTCAAGTATTTCCATAGTATTTCTTCCAACAAATATTTGGCATGATTTTTCGAATTATGCCAAATATTTGGCATGTTTGGAATACAAACTGAGAAGAGAAAATTGTTTTTTGTATAATTCACTGTTCATATGAAAGTATTTGTTTCGAAAGAATTTTTCTTTCGTGTAATTTAATGTTTATATGAAAGTAGCTGTTTAAAGAAGGCTTTTTCTTCCAGTTTGTGTCTGAAAGTTACTTCCATGCATGATCTGCACATCCATGTAGAGTTACTGCTTTTAAAATTGATTGCTTCTTTCCTTTCTTTCGAAGATTCCCACATTTTTTTTGTATCAAGATGAAGTAGTGGAAAGCCAAGAACTTTCTTTCCCAAAAATATTCAAGATATACTGAGACCACATGCACAAGTTTCAACTCCACATAACTCGAGAACATCCATTCCTCAACTAAAAAGTCGATCAAGTGTGCGCCTAGACATAAATTCAAGGCAATTTTTAACTGGCCGATATTTTGGTCGTGGTGAAACAGGATTTTCTTTTTCTGCAAATGTGGCCGTTTTCCCGCAATTTCTACCTTCAACTTGAAATAAGTAATGATGCGTAGTATGCTCCTGTAATGGTTTTTCCTTTTTGAAAATTGTCGATTGAAATAACTCCATGACTATCCCAAAAAACAGTCGTCATCACTTTCCCAGTCGAAAAAACAGCTTTTGCTTTTTTTGGAGTCGGTTCCCCCTTTGCAATTCACTGTTTGGACTGTATTTTTGTTTCGTGCGTATGACGCAGTGTATCCAAGTTTCATCTACAGTAATTAATCGGCGCCAAAACTCGGATTTATTGCTCCTAAACTGTGCCAACAGAGCGTTGGAAATGTTCATGAAATGTTCATTCGAACATTTCCAACGCTCTGGTCTAACGTGAGAAACCTAACGCGCGGACATCTTTTTCATGCCTAAATGTTGATTTAATATATTCAAACACATTTTTTGACATGTTCATAACCTCTGCTATCTCGCTTACTTTACTTCGGCGGTCGTGTAGCACGATTTGGTGAACTTTGGCGATGTTTTCGTCAGTAGTTGAAGGTTTTGGACATCCCGAACGTTCCGTCCAGTTCCGTCCCGTCTACCAAGATCTGATGGCCACGTTTGAGTTCAGCTGCCAAAAATTTTACCTGTAGTAAAGGATGGTGCAGAGTCCCCATACACAGAATCCAACTCATCTTTGATTTCTTAGACGTTTTGCCTTTCAAAACGAATATTTAATGACAGTTCAATACTCGAGTTTGTCTACTTTCATAAAACACACACATCAACTCACTCAAACTAAACGTATTCTGTTCAAATAGTTCCTACAGGAAATTTTATTTATTATTTATTAATGATTATGGAAATGAAGTTTTTCTACCACCTACTAGATTTTCTTTTATGAATGGCTTTATAATAGAGCGCATGGTTTACTGGGTTAACATTAAATTATTCCCAATGAACTAATTCATAACAATGATAAATGTTAATTTCTAAAGTAATGAACTTTGCTTCATAAAATCACATGAAGAAATTTGTGATTTATTCTCAGATTTGATAAACAAGCGGTACGGTTTGTGAGGTCCGATAAAAAGAATTTTCTATTAGAAATCATGAATATTTATAATTACGATTGAGGTTTGATATTCTGAGCTCAACTTGTTATAAAGTTTCAAATTGAGGGAATTTGACTTCGACTTATTTAGCCTGAAACGTTTTAGTGCTATTTGGTTTGCTGATCTCGTGTCGTATTTGTGAAGATCTGACGAAACAGTATAGTTTCCTTTGTTTGAGTGTATTTAACAAAGGGTTTGATATATGTAAATGCATGGCAGTGTCATTATTTTTATGTCAGTAAAGAGGGGACGACAGTCTTCTCTCAGTCCGACTCCAGCCAGAAGACGAATAGCTTTCTTCTGTGATTTGAAGATGTTTAGCGCATTGCTGGAATTTCCCCATAGAATGGTCCCATAGCTAATACGCGAGTGAAACAAAGCGAAATATATTTGCCAGAGTGATTCGGGACCTACAACATATCTCAATCTTCTTAGGAGAAATATTGTACTGGGAAGCTCGCTGTTAAGTTTTAGAGTATGATAGTACCAGCTGAGAGTCATCGATTGTAATTCCAGGAAGTTTACAGTTTTCTCCTGATGTGTATTTATTGTTACTGGATATAATCAGTTGTTGCGTTTTTTCACCATTCAGTTGTAGGGAGTTTGCAGAAAACCAATTTCTAGCAAGGTCAACAGAATTGTCAGCAAGAATTACATCGCCCAGCTCAACAACATGATCTTAGAATATTCCTGAACACCTAGATCCATTTTATTTTGATGTCCATAGAAACGATCATTGGAAAGGTCATTTAAGCAATTATTAACATTTTGAGTATAATGTGAAGGCGCGTGTCCTGTAAACAACACTGGTCCAATGATTTTTGTCCCAATAAGACCTCATTATACACTCACGCTGAAACAAACTCGTGGTTCTCATTACTCTAGTAATGATGACTATTTTCCTATTATAGTTCTGATTGCCATCGGCCATAGAATCAATATTAAGAAATTAGGATTAGTGTTTTTAGCATTTAAAAACCATCTGGAAAATGTGATTTCTTCAATGGAAGTAACTTTTTATCCATGAAACAATTTAAAAAAAGTCAAACACTAAATGTTAAGTGAAGCTTATAACGCGTTGGTGAAAACTGCACCAGAATCGATTGAACTGTTTTTGAGATTAGCTCGCACAAACGGAACAGGCAGCGGTCAGTTACACTTTTATTATACGAATCGATTATTTATGTGCATTTACATTAAAAAATAAGGCAGACCCTTTTGCTGGATTTGCAGTTGATAATCACTTGTATTTGCAGTTATTTGTCCCAAGCATACCTACAGCGGAGATGACGAAGCATTTTGCAGGATCTGTCCAGCAGGTCAGTACCAACCTCAAGCAGGATCCAAAGCTTGTCTACCTTGTACATCTCCTGTAGATGATTCCATGTGTCTTCGGATGCTGGTAAGTTCTTTGTTTTTGGCTCCTACATAATTCCTTCCAAATCCTGTTTTTCCGTTGTGTATCTGTCTCACGTACTACATGAGATGCAAGTGGAGTATCTTAACGATGGGAGAAATGTACAGTAAAATGGATTAACGGAGTCTCTAAGTCAAAAAATCAAAATCATAGCTCTACCTTACTTTGCCGAGCTTTCACTTCTGATGGAAAGCTTCTTCATTCTTCAGGGCAGTAAAAATTAGTGAAACAGTTAAATCTAAGAAGTAGGCAGTTCGAGACCTTAGAAAGAACTCGTGAAGATACCTGGGGATTAGGCAGATTGAGACGCCGGCGTCAAGTCAAATCAATTTCTTGAAAATAGCTCCAAAATGGGAGCCGAAACGTCGAACACAAAACTCCAGATGCGGTTCAACCCGAACTCAACGACAACATACTACTGACCGCGGAAACATATCCGAACAGTCAACAGTCAAGCTGTTGGAAAATAATTCCATGAAAATCAATAGATGAATAGATAAGTACTATTCTGATTAAATTTCCCAAATTTCTGCTACCGCAGTTGTCGGTTGATTGGTCAAATCACCAACATTGACATATAAACTTGGCAAGTTGACTGGGATGTCACACCAATAGATGGTTCCACTTTTGTCTCGCTTGCGTTTGCGCAGTTATTTTTATCAGGTACTTTTCGAGGACCGCCTGTCCGGTACTGACGATGCCCAACATGCTGAAACATTAATTTTTCCAAAAAGAAGCACCCAGAGTGCTTGATGATAGAACCTATCGATGGTTTAGCGCACACATATGTTAAGTACAATTCTGGGGTAAACTGTGTTAAGTGCGTCTCTGAGTAGATAGTTGATATATCTTTGTTGTGCCCAAATGTGGTAATTGTTCACGTAGTCCAAGTAATCGTAGTCGAGTTGATTAAATGTGTTAAGTACCGATAAATAGACTCGCAATCGTGGTAAGTGCACTTAACACCTGTGGTATTTTAAGTTAGGATGTGGTTAGATACGCATTTGTGCTAGGTGGTCACTTACATCATTTGTTTTCCTTATTTAGTGACAGAAACACAGATCATAATGCGACCCCAGAAGAAAAAATACTTGCTGTAAAAACACACATTGATTCATTTTCTCGTATTGAGTCTCACTATTGCAGAAAAGATACGCAAAGACTCTAATTAGCACCCAAGTTGAATTTGTCCCGTATGTATCGGCTATACCAAGATGACTATTATAAAGAAAGGAACATTACACCAGTGTCATATTTTGTATACCGCAATATTTTCAATTCATATGATCCATCACTGTCATTGTTCATTCCTAAAAAAAATCAGTGCACTACATGTAATTCCTACCATTCTTCCACTGATAAAACTATTTTGCAAGACAACTGGGACAAAAACAGAAAGCGAGAAGAGGAAGATATGAAAATGAAGTCTTTGGATAAGCTGAAGATCAATAACATTTGATCTTGAATCAGTTTCAAGTATTCCGTATTCGGAAGATAATAAAATTTATTTTTTTATACAAACGTAAACTAAATGTTTACAGTTTCACCATCATGGATGCAGCCAAAAATGATGGTTTCTGTTATTTATGGGATAAGTGCAATTGAAAAAAGGGTGGTACTGAAGTGGCCAGTTGTCTTTTGAAGTACATTTTTGATTTACCTGATACTGTATCTCACATAGCAGTGGTACGTGTGGAGGACGGAACCGTAATCAGTTCATAACTGCAGCAATGTTGTATGCTGTCAACAGAAAGCACAATTTGGAAACAATTGATTTGAAATATATGGAAGCAGGTCATTCTTATTTGCACGCAACGATTGAACGGAAGAGAAAACATATAAAAGTGTAGGTATTCTACAAGATAATGGGCTCTGTTGATAGCAGAAGCAAGGATTAAACCGTCACCATATAAAGTGACGACGATGACATACACAGATTTGTTGATATTAATAAAGGAGTTATTTCAGGAAATGTATTCAATGTTAAAGTTAATACCCAAAAGGAAAAAGTTAACTGGCTGCATATTAAATGGATTCGAGTCCAGAAGAGCAAACCAGGATAAGTAAGATCTATCCGAAAAATCCTCCTCAGAAATTAACAAACAAGAACTATCAAATGAAAAAATTACGCTGGTAACGAAAGCTAAGAAAACCGATCTCTTAGAGTTCTTGAAATTGAAAGTAATTCCTGAAGATTATAGGAATTTTATAGAATAAATACCGACGGCCAACCGAATAATGAACGTCGTTTCAGAATCTGACGATGATGTTGAAACAAAATAATGGTCTAGAAGCTTGAACTTTTTTTTAAGAAATGCCACCTTGGTTGAGAATAAATAGTTGTTTCTTCTAGCGAGATTATTTCATTCAATTTGAATAGTTAAGTATTAAGTAGGTCATTACTTTCAAGTAATCACACAAATAAGGTAAGTACCTGGTGTTAGTTTCCAAATGCGTTAAGTGACTCAAATAATTATTTAATTGTTATTTTTCTAATTACTTGTCCACTGAATATCTAAAACTAAGTTGTTATTTGCTTTGTTACTTAATCGAAAACTCAGCTAAAAAATAACAATATCATTAACGATAGTGTGCAGTAGCCGACTTTTGTTATTGAATATGGTAAATTACAAATTCTGGAAAATCACCAAATTGTAACTTAACACATGTGTGCGCTAAACCATCGCTATGTTCATGAGACAACCAATCAACACTGAAAAATCTATATGCGAGTCTAAACAAATTTGGGACTGTACAAACTACATAAAACATTTCAAAAAGATAAATCTACAGGGTGTTTATTAAACTTGCGGCAAAAAATTAAGGGACTATCCTTGGACTACCCTAAGGATATTTCGTGCTTTGATGTTTTTGATTGGGCGCTTTGTTTCGAAGATACAACAGCATTCCGATTACTACAAACGGCTGCAGACATTCAATTTGATGGGTATAACGCAATCAGAAACGATCCTGGTGTGAAAGAGTTCGGGAGTTGATGAGAAGATTGGATTCTTGTATCCAAGCGGGGGGTAGTAATTTTCAACAGTTCTTGTAGATTTAAGACACTCAAGACGCAGGTACCTAGAACAGATAGATACCTGTATCTATATATGATATACCTGTATGGTATAAATAAAAGGATAGCTTTGTAAGTATGATTACTTTTTTCTTCCTCTTGAAGATGATCACTTGGTGATTGAAACACCTGTCGAGGTGTTAAAATAACGATTTGGTGTTGGGAAAAAACTCCAGTAATATTTCTTACCGATAAGATTGTTTAATTATGAGTACCTACTAATAAGAAATAACGATTACAGATGCCTACTTGAAATTATAAGTATCTAGTCGTCGAATTTAGTCGTTTAACTTTTGTTTTTTTTTTGTTTTTTTACTGAAGTGTCGTACAAAATGACGAATTAAGTTTAGAAGAAGTTAATTTGTTCTTAAGATAAAAGTGATTTATTTTATTTCGTTTATTTTTATTACATAAATTTTAAGTACTTGTTGTGATATTACATCCAAAAGAAGAATCTACACCTACTTAAATAAACACCTCACCTAGTTTAAGTATTTTTAAGGTGCAATTAATATTTTTTCTTAAATAAGGGGTTATGTTGATTTTTGATTATCATGCAATAAGTGAAAATGTCGAAGACTGCATAACGCTGTGAATTAAAAACTGACTGATTTTAATAAACTTTTCTTTATTTTTCCCTCAAATCTTAATCCTTGTAAGGAAGTTTCGGTTTCGGTCGAAACTGAGACCGTTGCCGAAATTCGATTTCGGTCGTAAAAACAGTTTGGGTCGGACACTATTCCACTTTGAAGCGCACCGCCATATATCTTCGTGAGTGGATACCAACCAGTGGCTACAACTGTAAATTACGAAATTTCACCGCTGTAGAAATCCTCTACATGCAATTGACTCTGTAGACTACATGAATAGACATTCCCTTTGAATCAAACGCCGAATGCAGACAATAATTCGAACAAATCAAAAAGGCGCCTACAACAAGCCCCATTCTCATTTAACCTCATTTACACAGTTGCTAATACGTTTGCAATTGATGCCATTCTAACGGAAAGTCCAATTAGCAAAGATCTTCCAATAGCCTATGCGTCCAGAAAACTTTCTAATGCAAAAACGAAGTAAGAGAACTTCATGCCATAGTTTGAGAAGTAGAATACTTTCGCCCATTTCTTCTCAACGAAAATTCAAACTGGATCCATTATACTGCATCAGATTTCGGTTTCGGTCGTAAGAAATAAATCAGACAAAAGTTATTTTCTCAACCCTATATTTAAACAAGAAATCTCTTACTTGACTCCACAATTGCAAGGGTCTCTAGTTCGTAAGAATGGTAAAATGTTCCATCTGGTAGCCATTCGACTTTACTACACTACTGGGTTGAAATATTTCCAATATTTTTGAAATAAAATATTGGATATTCCTTTACTACTGGCTTTCGTACCTATTATTTCGAAATTTGGATTGTAAATACTAGATCTAGACGTGAGACGTTTCTTAATTTAATTGAAGTCCATTTCCATGGTACTGATTTTTTGAGATTTGTTAGAAGGGCTACAATGAATACATGTTTTTTTTTATTTTCGAAAATAGCAATCAAGACCCAAATTTGATTGTTTTTATTCATAGCAAATTTTGAAACAGCTGTTATTTTGTACTACCTTGGACGTATTCCATTGCCATCTATTTTGTAGCTAAAGTAATTATTGCTGGTCTCGAAGAAAAAGCACTTTACTATAATCAGTATTAGATTTGAATTTTCAAATATTTTGAATAAATTTCTCAGTGAATGAAGACCTTCTTTGATTGTTTTGAAGGTATTGAAATATAGTCTCAATAAATATTCGTAATACACTTTGGAAAGCAACTCATTAAAAAATCTTTGATATGTCGCTGGAGTGTTTGAAAAACCAAAAGGCATTCGTAAAACTGTGAATTGTCTGTCCTGCGTTACGAAAGCTGTTTTATTTATGGATCTAAAAGCAACAGATATATATGATAATAGCCTTGAGTCATAGATTTTTTTTCTTTACATTCTGAATTTATGAGATTAATATCTACCAAACACTTTGTTGTGAGATTTTCACTTAACAATTTTACAAAAACGCAACACGTGTTTCGCCATACAGTGTCGGGTGTAAAGACACGCCCGAACAAACCATTGTATGGCAACACGTATTGTGTTTTTGTAAAATTGTTTAATGAAAATCTCACAATAATTTTTTTGAATACGTTAAATGGCTTAATTTTGTTAAATTTCTTCCAAATGTAATATATTTATGGCAAAACAGTTCTATGCAGTTCATTCAAAGCTTCTAGACCTAATTTAAAATAATGGACCACATTTTTTTAACATCATAGAAAAAAAATCTGCCCTGGTTAAAATTCTACCTTTGTGCCAAACAAGTTTGTTGAGACCCGTGTTAATAACGCGAAGTACACTTTGTTAGTTTCAAACAAAAAACAAGATAGAATTGACTTATGCTCGAAAAAATTATAAAGGTATTTGTGAAAGAACTAATAAACACTTGATTCTCAAACTTATGCTTCTTTTGTCCAAATCTCTTCTACAACTAACATTATTCAAGCTAATATGCACAATATAATTATTATTTGGTACTTGTTGTGGGAACATTATCGCTTTTTACACTAATAATGCTCGATTTGATTGTAGGCTGCATTTGATTCAGAATTTCACTCACTTTTGCGGCAATTAGTTGCGTACCTCTTTTCATGTCATCTTTGTGATGGCGGCGACATTGCTTCGACGATTCATTATCACTTCCGGTATCACAATAATTTTTTTTCTTTGAAAACATTGCCAATTATGAAAATAAAATTGTCAATTGCATGCCAACAAATTTAAAATAACTATCTTTCAACACCTATCAAATTCCATTTGCATATCTCGACTGATTTCCGAACTATATCCACACAAATAGTCAGTTAATACAAACTTTAACACCCTGTATCGCGAAAAACGAAGCATTTGGGAGCCAAAGTTATAGCAAACTGTGATTATTTTTTGGCAGCAACATATTTACCAAACAGAAGTTACACACGACACCCAAAGAAAAGAACTCCAGTAGAAATGTGGACAGGATTTAAACCAGATTTATCTAAAATAATTTAGTTTGAAGGCATTTGTTCAAATACCTAACGAAAAAAAGAACAAAATCAGATGAGAGAAGTGACATGCAGAATGATAGGTTATGCCAACATGGTTATTGACTGTGGAATGAAAATAAAAGGAAGATTATTCTATCAAGAGAAATTATTTTTGACAAGAGGGGTCCGTCCTCAAATTGACAATCAAAATGTTGAACATCGAATAAAAATTGATACTGATGAAATAAATGAAACGAAGGAGAATTCAAATTGTACAAAACCTGAAGAAACCATAGAAATAGTGTAATTAATTGAAATGCCATCAATAGAAACTACGTCTGAAGTAGGTAAATAAGAAAATAATTTCAAAAAAGCCAGTCTGGTTAGATGACTTTGAAATCTGCATGGCACTTGATACAGATTCAATAATAGAAAATAAACCAGAAAACTATATAGAGATGATTTACAACAAAAAGATGCAAAAAAAATTTAAAATGCAGTGAGAGAAGAATTACTCTTTGGTGGAGAATAATACTTGGACTTCAGTAACTACTGAAACTGAAACCTATAACAAGCAGCAGAAAGAAAACATTCAATGCAAAGAAACATGCTCCTGTGGCAAGATTAACAACAGATATGTTATTCATGTTAGTAGCAATCCAGCACAGATATCCATTGTTTTGAATGGACTTCAAAAAAAATGCCTATATGAAAGTCTACATAGAGGAGGAAATGGAATATGGACACAAAGAATTTGACCATTTCGTGGCATACCTAAACTCACTCCACCAGAAAATCCAGTTCACCACAGAAATAGAAAGAATCAACTAGTTGCCTTTTCTTGATGTACTAGTTAGAAAAACCCAACGGAGAAATTCAGCATACAGTCCACAGAAAACCAACACATACCTGAATGCAGAGTCACATCATCATCCTGCACAAATACAAGCGGTAGCCAACACCCATATATCCAAATCCGGACACATAACAAAAAAGACACGAAAAATAAAAAAATGAAAGACATACAAAAAACTCTTCAGCAGAATAGATATAAAAAGCATACAATTCACCAAGCAACACAGCGAAGAAAGAAGTAAAACGAGAAAGAAGCAAACACAGAGGAAACCAAATCCATCCTGTCCTATGTCAGAGGAGTTACAGATAAAATAGGGTGAATTCTAAAAGACACAACATTAAACAACATATAAACCAACCATCAGAAATTCTTTGAACAACCTGAGAGGCAAAGTGAACCTATAAAACCAAGTTCTTACTGTCCATAAGAGTTGTATTTCAAGCAAAAAAGACAAATGTACCTATTCTTGATAAGAATATGTTGATTTATTGTATCGAGAAGAAACAAACTTACCATATCAAATATTCGAAGATACAAATACCAACGAATGTAAATATAATGACAAGAGGGGAAATGAACAATTCAAATGAATTCAGAATGAATTCAAGAACAGAAAACATCCCAATTTTTTTGTTTTTCAAAACAATGCATGTCACTGACCCCTTACTCATTATTTTATTTAGTATTCATGCATCCCACGTGTTTTTTAATTCAACAGGAAAAAAATGGAACCTACCGTTTTACCAGTATACGAATTGGATCTGTCATAAATTTAGAAGTTATCTCCAAAATTTCATGAGGTAAAGTTGCAGATATCAAAACAACCTGTGTAGAGGGTGGAAGAAATCGATAAACATCATAAATTTGTTCTTTGAATCCTTTGTTCAACATTTCATCAGCTTCATCTAATACCAACATTTTCACAGATCTAGTTCGTAGTGCTCGTCTACGAATCATATCTGAAATAACAAAATTTTTAATACTTCATAACATTTTTTTTTTCACCTATAATTACCATACACTCTTCCTGGTGTTCCACTGACGACATGTTGTCCGTAATCTAGTTTTCTTATGTCTTCTCCTAAATTTGTGCCACCAATACAAGCATGACATTGAACATTCATAAAATCTCCTAAAGCTAGAATTACTTTTTGAATTTGAACTGCCAATTCCCTAGTTGGGGACAAGCATAAAACTTGAGTTTCTCTCATTGTAAGATCTAGAGATTGTAGAATGGAGATTGAAAACGTCGCAGTTTTACCAGTACCAGACTGAGCCTGTGCAATCACGTCTCTTCCTTTCATAATTGGCTTTATAGCTCTCTGCTGAATAGCAGATGGCTTATCAAATCCTTGGAAAAAATAAGGTTAGTAAAAGCAATGACCTGATTATAAAATTTTCTTACCATATGCAAAAATTCCCCTGAGGAGTTCTTCTTTAAGATTCATATTCTTGAACTTGTCGATAACTTCCACATCTTCACTTGTCTCGAATTCCACATTAGAGAGGTCTTCAAAAACTGAAGCTGCCCTTTTAGTAGCACCAGCCATTTTTCGTTTATAGCAGTAACTGATATGTGAGTTTAAAAATGCCTATTCGTTTTGACTTCAATTCCCACAAAATGATAGTTCACAATTCACAACATATGAAAACTAAGTCTTATTCCAGACACTAGCACATAAGCTTAAATTCCTGTGAGACAGGTATAAAGCTGAGAGAACAGAACCCAGTATTGCCAACTGGATGAACTATAAAGTCGCCACCACTGTTGCCAACTGGATGAACTATAAAGTCGCTACACATGAACCAAAATTCCGCTACACTGCTCCATATACCGCTACGCTTGTATATCTAATGCAATCAGTTCGCGCAAGCGCCTTATTCAAAATTAAATACCACAGAACTTAGTTTGTAATTTGTGTGCCGTTCAGATACCACAAAACTGAACTTTCACTAATGTCAGGAATCAGGATCATGTTAATTTTCATCCGCGCAACTTGGTAGATGGTGCCTGATTTTCTAAATTTACAGCAGTCAATTTATGAAAGCTGTCGTCTCGACCAAATATTTCTTAGCTTGAAATAATGATTTTGAAAAGTGAAAATAAATATCAATTTGTTCACGTAGGTGAAATCACACTGAGCTCTTGAACGATCATTCGCGACAGGTCTAATTTATCCTCTCACGTTGGAATCAGACAACCAATGTTGAGAAAAAGTTGGTTTTCCAGAATTTTTGTATTTTTTTTTCAACATGTCCCGTTCCCGTAAATTTCAACTGCGGTAGCTCTTTCGCCCGAGCTACAATAAGATGAACTATCTTCCATTTCCACTGTAATTTGTTCCATATAATTTATAATATTCGAAACAGTCGATACTTTTAGTTTCAAGATATTGGAGGTTATATATTCTTCTTTTCTTTCATCATGTAATGGCCTCAGCTACTAAGAACATAACGTATTGACTGTGCATTCAATTATTCAACTGTCAGCTTCGAGTGCTGTTCCCTGCCTCTTCTTCTTCCATANATGGATGCGATAAAAATCATGAACGTTTCTGTGTATTCAAACAAAATTATAATTGAAATCTTAAATAATCCACGGATTCATATGCTTAAAATTGGAAAAAACCTAAATTTTGAATCGATTTTCATTCATTTTCAAATAAATTATACTCCAACCACACAATTTTTCTTATAACTCTGTTATATAATGCATACTGTTCAGTAGATTTAAAATATGTTTTTCTAGATATCTCAAAGGTATGTGAAAAAACCTTCAAGATATTACACAGACGCAGACAGATATCTGTCATAAGAAAAAATACTATCGAAAAGTTATTCTTTTTTGATACTCTAAGTTTGTCATTCACATTGTTCCAGTTCGAAAAACAAATATCCGTACATTACGGTGCTAGTGTGAAAGTTTCTTATTGACAGACGGATCCCTGTGGAAGTAGCTCATACAAATGAAGTATCCATTTTCAGATTTTCTGTGGAAGGATAGGAGAAGAAGAATATTTTTAGCAATGTCAAAATACTTTGGGCGCTAAAAGCAAAGAGTACATAGCTACTAAAAGTTAATATATATTTTTTCGTGATTTCCAATTTTTTTAAATGGATATTTTGGATGTGAATTTAATGTTAATAGAATTGAAAAAACTGCGAGGTGAACCAGAATGTCGGTTTTGTTATGAGAAGTGTAAGAACCCCGTTAAAGTAAAAATATGTGGACATTACTTTTGCAAGTCTTGTTTGGAATCAAATAAAGATATATATACCTGCCCAAAATGTAAAATTTGCTATGGGGAACAAGATGTGGATTATCACAATGTAGCAAAAGAAACCGAACAGTTATTGACTGAACTCGAAGAATATTTTTTAAGTATAATAAATGAAAGCAAAACGAATACTGAAGAAAAGACAAATTCAGAAGAAAATGTCTCTTTAAAAATCCAAGGGAAATCTAGAACAAAAAACAATCAAATATAATGATAAACTTTATATTATCAATTTCATAAATGAGCAATTTAATAAGGTTAATGCTAAAGGAGAAACTCCTTTGCATATTGCATGTAAGAGAAATAAATTAGAAGATGTGACTGAACTCCTGAAAAGGGGGATTGATATCAATGTCCAGGATTTCGCAGGTTGGGCACCTCTGGTAGGTAATGTGTAAAAATACTTATTTAACTTGAAAGATCCTTGTGACAATTGTAGTGTAGGTGGTAAACACCACCAACCAATTTATTTGGTTTTCAATTATGAATATATCCAATAATTGGAACCATTCCCAGTGATAATCAAATATTCAGATAATTGGATTATGACACAAAAGGTTCATATTAAACTTGTTCGATTGATGACATATTCATTTTGTAATAAGTCTTTTTCTTTATTCTATATGCTTATATTAAAGGGAAAACTGGCAACTAGCACCAAAATCTGCTGCTATTATGAAACAGATTAGTTTAGGTTGAGTTATATAATAACATCATTAAAAGTGATCTACTTCATTTATTACTATTGAAACATTTCAAGGATTTTGTTTGGCATTCTAAACTGGTGATATGGAGATGGATTCATGCACCAGTTATGAGTAGTCAGTCGCTAATTTTGAATCATTAGAATTCACTAATCAAAGCTACTATAGCAGTTGACATATTTATTTTAAAGTGTAAATAAATAGTGAGGTAGTCTGTCATGTAGTACTTATGATGCACTGTTTGGAACCTTTGGTGTAGTAATGAATATTACTGGAGTTTTTTCCCAACACCAAATCGTTATTTTAACACCTCGACACGTGTTTCGATCACCAAGTGATCATCTTCAAAGAGGAAGATTAAAACAGTTTTAATTAAACTCCAGTAATATTCATTTGTCACGTGGTAGACAAAGTGCATAATTCCCTGAAAAAAATCGACATACATACAGCTTGTCAAAACTAGGAATAGACTTGAGAATTCTATTTCTCTCTCTCCCTGTTCACACAGTCTCCTAACAAACGCACATCTTATGGTAGGTCCTAAACCGAGATTTTGAAGTCACTTCCTAAATGTGTGTACGTGCATAAGCATGTATGTATTGATATTACAAGATTGACTTTCTAGAATATGTTGTCCTCTATTAATTGGAACTTTTTCCTCTTCACAAAACTGTTCTGATTAATGTGGAACAATAATTGTTTGTATTGATTTGTAGCATGAAGCAGTGGAATGTGGGAGCGAGGAAATTGTGGAAAGATTACTTGAAAATGGAGCACTTATTGACATAATGGGTGAAGAATATACAACACCTTTACATAAAGCTACAGTCTCACAAAAAATGAACCTGATCATACTTCTTTTGAAATATGGTGCTGATAAAGAAATGATTGATATTTTTGGAAAAACGCCTATTGACTATGCAAAGACCGAAACAGTACAGAATATTTTGAAGGAACATTACCATCCAATTGAAAGAACTGAAATGTTATGTTGCAACAAGAAGATGGTTGCTTATTGTTACTATATAGAACAAGATTATAGGGATAAGCTGAAGAAAAGAAAAATCAAAATATTAGAAGAGTATGACTCAAAAAAAGTCACTCACTTCTTAATAAGAAGAACTCACAAAATTTCTCTTAAAATTTTAGAATCCATGCTAGATGGCTGTATCATATTACCTCAAGAGTGGATTGACAGCTTTTTAAATAACGACTTGTTTATACCAATTCCAGATTATACATTTATCAACAATGTCAAGATGAACAAAGGAATACAAAGGGCAATGATGAACCACTTGCTAAAATGTCCAAAACTTTTTTCCGGGATCAATTTTTTCATTTCTGGACATAAGAGTTTTGTTAAGATTCATGATATAAAATTCACCAAAGAGCATATCGCTTCATTGATTATTGCGGGAGGTGGTAAACTGCTGCATAGAGCCCCTGCCCTAAGGACGTGCGATGAAGTTGTAAATTTTCCGTACCATGCCAGAAATTCTGCAGCTAAATGTTGCAATTATATCATTTATGAAGAAAACAACCCACCAGATCTGAGATATCAAATGCCTGAAATCAAACATAAATCATCTAATTGGCTTGTGGAATGTGTAATTGACTTTAAAATTCTGGACTAAAACATGCTATTCAGATTTTGTTGAAAATTTTACATTTTTTCATACCAACAAAAATAATAGCTTTTGACTACCTTCATTTTGACAACTTTGGTCCATTTGAAAAGAGGATAGAAAATAAATTTAACTTTCTACAATGTATTGATTGAATGATGTGAATAGGAAACAAACTGTTGACATAAACATGGTCATTAAATGTTGGGTTCCATAAATAGTTGAATTTATCACAGGTTTAGTTATTTAATATTGCCATTATAAGATTCATTAGTCAGAATCGAAATATATTTTAATATCTGAAAAAGTAGTTCCTAAACTGATAATTCAAATGACGACTTTATACTATACTACCTGGGCTGAAAAGTCTCAGGTCTAACTCATAGATGGCGTTAGTCTTATTGCATTCACCGCTTTTCCAGTTAGTACTAGTCTTCAAAAGAGAGCTCTACGTGGTCGTAGAGACACCGATGATGCAGAACGCAGTGGACGTCCAAATGAGGCAGTACCACCAAAAAACAAAAATTGATCATAAATTCGTATCGAATGATCAAAAAATGAAGTTGTGTGGGTTAGCTAAGATTGTGAAGATATAAAAGGAACGTGTTGGCTTTATATNTGTCCTACATGTCCATGTCTATATCTGTATATAAATTGGCTTTACACAGAAAGAACACCGATAGATGCATTATTTCTGGAACATCTGATAGCAGAAATTATGAAGATGATAAAAGTACCTATAAATAAATATAAGTGTGCGGGGGCAGCATTTTTCAGTTTTTGCCCTAAAAAAATTGAAGATCCAGGGCCGATTTAGATATCTAAGTGTTAAGTATAAGTTTGGATCTTTGTGGAAACAATATTTAGAAACTGAGGAAATATAATGACAAATAAGGAAATTAATATTTCGAAATATTAATCGCTCCCAACTACCTACACAGTAGGGTTTGGTAAACGTCTGTCCGAAAACTACTTCCCCTGCTAATACCAAGCTGAATATTGAATTATATCCGACAGATTTGCTTGAAAGGGTCATTACTGGTGACGAATCATGGGTATATGGTTATGACATCGTTCCAAAGCCCAATCGTCCCAATAAAAGAGACCAGGAGAGCCAAGACCAAAAAAACACGCCAAGTTCGATCAAATGTCAAGGTTTTGCTCACTGTTTTCGTCAACTACAGTAGAGTAGTGCATCAGGACTTCTTGCCAAATAGGCGTACGGTCAATAAGGAGTATTATCTTGCGCCGCTTGCGAGAAGCAATACGAAGAAAACCTCCGGTATTGTGAAAAACAATTCATGGCTTTTTCATCACGATAATGCACCTGCTCACTCGTCGTTTGTAATTTTTTGGTCAATACCAACACTGTAATCCTGCCTCAGCCACTGTATTCACCAGATTTAGTCCCCTGTGACTTTTTCCTGTTCCCCAAGAGTGAAGAGACCCATAAAAGGACGGCGTTTGTGACGATTGAAAAGATAGAAACCGAATCGCTGAGAGAGCTCAAGGACATACCAAAAAGTGCATATCAGAACTACTTCTAGGATTGGAAAAAACACTGGCACGTATGTACATCTGAGGGGATAACTTTGAAGAGGACAAAATAGAAATTGATGAATAAATAAATATTCTGTTTAAAAAAAAAATTGTCTAAAAACTGTTTTTCCGTTAACCAGCTGTCACACCCCTACGAACGACAATCCTTAGAAGTCGAAACTTGTGCGAGCTAAGTATTAACGAGGTCTTACTTTTGAACGTGTGATAAAAATGAAAATTCACCTTATATTTGAACAGAGTAGTATATACCTACTCTGCATACATGAACATTTTACCCTCAAGCCACTTAATGCTATAAAGTATATGGGCTACTGTAAAATAATTGAATTTTACTTGTACCAAGATATTGATGATCATGTGATATATACTTATTTGCTTTACTTTGCTTACTTATTTTTTGATATCTGAAATATATTAAGATAAAGTTTAATAATAAAAGGGTAGTGAAGGTTGAAATTGTCATTGAAAAATATTTATATTTTGTTGGTGGAATTGGAGATTTTCAAAATATATAGTTTTCATAACATTCCTGATTTGATTCAGATGTATATCAATAAGTCATGGGAATAAAAGTTCATAAATNAAAATTTTTTATATCAAATCAGCAACATTCATGGGCATTTCATCAATTTGTGTTGAATAATACTGTTCAATATCTCTCAAAATTCTAATGTCATCGGACTTGACAAAATTGATTGCAACACCCTTACGTCCAAAACGCCCAGATCTACCAATACGATGAATGTACAATTCACGATTATTTGGTAAATCATAGTTTATTACCAAACTAACTTGCTGAACGTCTATTCCTCGGGCCCAAACATCGGTGGTAATAAGAACTCTGCTCTGTCCTGACCTGAACTCCTTCATGATGTTGTCCCTCTCCTTTTGGGGCATATCTCCATGCATGGCGCTCACAGTGAAGTTGTTTTCTCTCATTTTTTCTGTCAGCCAGTCCACCTTCCTTTTTGTATTACAGAATATAACAGCTTGAGTTATAGTAAGAGTATCATAAAGGTCACAGAGAGTGTCAAATTTCCACTCTTCACGTTCCACAGCTACGAAGAACTGTTTGATACCTTCCAGAGTCAATTCATCACTAAAAATAAAGGAAAATCATTTACACACATTTATCACTGAGTTGTTCCTTATGAATATTTTTGTCTGTTAATTTATCTTTAGGATCGGACAGATTTTGTGGAAAATGAACTTATGGTGAAATTTTTGACTTGTCAGCACATACTATCTTCAGAAAAGAGTTCATAATACACTCTTATTGAAAAGATGATGCCTTCTTCAACACTAGCCCTTGAATTGTTTTAAAAATGATACTCTAATTCCTCTTACTGTCCATAAGAGTTGTATTTCAAGCAAAAAAGACAAATGTACCTATTCTTGATAAGAATATGTTGATTTATTGTATCGAGAAGAAACAAACTTACCATATCAAATATTCGAAGATACAAATACCAACGAATGTAAATATAATGACAAGAGGGGAAATGAACAATTCAAATGACGAGTTTTGAAGGTGTTT